AGGCACACCCCCAATATCCACATCTATTACCACTCCTCTATGATCCGAAAAACCACATCTATCACATCCACCTCCCCACAGTAACCGCACAAGGCACGTACATTTCGGTCCAACCCCGCCGCATAACCTCGTTTAATGAAGGTATGCTCTACCATCCCTCCCCCCCACACACATCCTTTAACCCACCCCGGTCAATATATCCCCAATATACCCAAACAACACCCCGCACCTCTGGGCTCTACATCTTTACGACGTATCACGCAATTCCAATCTCCGCCTATTATTGCAACATTCGGTAAACCACGTAAAAAATAGACCCAGCACGTCCGAACAAATTTAGTTTTAATACTCACGTCACCCTCAGCGGACCATTACACATACTAAACTAATGGGAACCCTACCCCAAGCTCCATCCACTCTAATTACCCTCCCCCCCCCTTCACTACGCCTTACTATAAACGGGCTAGTTTCCTTTACCAAAATGGCAGCCCCACCTTTCAAACGTGTCGCATGTTCCATGTACACATTATAACCACTCATATCCAACTCATAACCAGTCCTAAAATTATGTTCCTGTAAGAATACCCCATCCACACCAAGTCGCACCAAAAACTCATTAACCACTTAAGCTTCCTCTCAGCTCTCAACCCGTTAATATTTATTGTAAAACACTTGAATTCAACAAATGGGTTTTCCTTTTGTCCCCGGCATTGACTTTACCCCAGTTCGTTTTGCAACACCTCTGTCCCTCCCCTTTGTTGGGAATCACCTTTGCAATCCCTTGATCCTTGGGTTCACCATTCCTTCTTTGTACCTCACCCAAGACTTTTTCCCAGGGCGTTGGGCAGGAGTTAGCACATCATCAGAATCCCATGATGCTGCAGTCTCTTTCGTGTCCGCCCTCCACCTGCATTTTGACATCTGAAGCCCCGTCCTGATGCACCTCCACCTCTACTGCATGTACCTTCAATCCTTTAGATTCTCTCGTCGACAAACCGTCATCTTCTGCCATACCATCATTCACAGCCTTCCCCATAACTAAGCCTGGGTCTTCCACCTGATCTAGGACCGATTCCTCTAACAAGTCATCCAACGCCTTTACCAAAGACGCCGCCACTTCTTCACCCATATTAGGTAGTCTCTCCTCAAAAACCTTATGTATGTCCAATGACTGGGATTCTCCTTGAAGCGTTACAATTGGCGATTCGAGCTCCTTTTCTTTGTCCACCTCCTCACTCCATGACAACCGTTGTTGGGGCGGTGTAGCAAGAGACTGTTCTCGCTCATCGCCAACCTCGTTCCCCTGGCTGCTGTTGCTGCTGTTGCCGTTGCTGTTGTGCGGGTACCCACTTCGTTTCCCACACTGCGCCGCGATGTGGTCATATGACCCACATAGCCGACACGTACGTTGTTGCCCGCATACGTTACATAGACTTGAGTCCTTAATTCTTTCAACACAATATATGAAGGAATAGGGTGTCGAAGAGTCATTTTAACTGTATACGCGCCTTCCAGCGCACCTGCATACGGTCCAGTTCCCATCTCCTGCTGTGGTACGTGAACCGTCCCATAAGTACGCAGTTCACTGGTAATATCCCAAAATCAGTCGCCTCAAAGGCACATTCCTGATTTTCACCCAGGTGTAATGTCGAGATACATCATGAAGTCTCACCGGCACAGCTGTATTAACCGGTATGATGGTCTCCTGATACTTGTCGACCCCTGCCTCGTTAGACTTGTGCAGGACGTCATTTTAACGAAGATTCTTGTCATTCCATTTAATGCGACACCACATATCTCCTCATTTGCTATACCATAGGTATCGCGAATGATCGCTGGTAATAATAAATCCATGTTGGATCCTGTGACAGCACCACGGATCATCTCAATGCAGACAGTGTTGATTCTTCTTCTGCTATTCAGCGCCATGTTGGAGAAAATAAAGTTTCCCCCAACCAACGCTAGGGGGAGCTCAATCAGGTAAACTGCGAAAAACAAACTCAAACAGGAGCGTCTGCGCAGCTCGTCCACACGGCTCGGAGGCGATGAGGACAATGAAATAATTAGAAGGGTGGGAACCCTCTCATATGTGGTATTTTGCCAAGGAGGGGAGTTGGAAATGAATGGTTGTCCAGGGCAATTGGTGTCAATTGCTGCGCGACAAATACTGTAAGGAAAATGCGGTAACATTCATTGACAACTGGGACCTCATCTATGGCAGAAATGACATGTATGCTAGGGATGGGGTTCACTTATCTAGGTGTGGGGTGGGAGCACTGGCAACTGCAGTGGAGGGAGCAGTTAGGACTTTAAACTAGGAATAGTTAGTGGTATGGGTTTTGGCAGGAAAACAGTGAAGTCCCAGTGTAGTAATATTACGAGTTCTAGGGGAACTAGTAATAATAAGAACGAGATAGATATTGAAAAGCCAAGGACCTTGAGTGATAAGGACAGTAATAGGTTTAGTAGAAAAATAGAAATGAGCAGGAAGGGTAAAGAGAAAGGAGAGTCTTTCAATGTTTATTATATAATTGCCGTAGTGCTAGGAATAAGATGGACGAGTTGAGATTAGTTGCTAGTGTATGTAACATTGATGTATCTGCCTTAACTGAGACGTGGTTTAATTCAAAAAGTCGGGACATGCCTGCGGAATGTCATATTCAGGGTTTTAAATTGTTCCAAGTAGATAGAAGTATCGGGAAGGGGGGTGGGGTGGCATTGTATGTCTGAGATCGCTTGAAGTGTTGCATAAAAACGGGTATTAAGTCTGAAGTAACACATACAGCGTCTGTTTGGATAGAATTTTCAGAGGGGCATGAAAAACTGATTTTAGGAGTGATATACCGTCCCCCAAACTTAGATAGGGACCAAGGGAAACTACTATGGGAGGAAATTGTAGGAATTTATAGAATTTTTAGAAAACATTCAGCGAAGGATGACTAAATTAATACATAGCATTAGAAATCTTCCTTATGAAGAAAGATTTAAGACTCTTAAGTTACATTCACTTGTTAGACGAAGAATGAGGGGAGACCTGATCGAAGTGTATAAGTGGAAGATAGGTATTAATAAAGGGGATATTAATAAGGTCTTGAGGATGTCTCTCCAAGAGAGAACCCGCAGTAATGGATTTAAATTAGATAAGTTTAGATTTAGAAAGGACATAGGAAAGTATTGGTTTGGAAATAGGGTAGTTGATGAGTGGAACAGTCTACCTAGTTGGGTTATTGAGGCTGGGACTTTGGGTAGTTTCAAATCTAGGTTGGATAAGTACATGAGTGGGAGGGGTTGGATTTGAGTGGGACTTTCACATCAGAGCTTATTTCTTGGGTGGCATTGAAAATTGGGTTGGGCAAATGTTTTGTTAGTGGGATAAATTGTAAAGGACCTGCCTAGTATGGGCCAGCAGGCCTCCTGCAGTTTTCCTCCTTTCTTATGTTCTTATGTTCTTATGTTCTTATGATAATAAGTTCACGGTAGTCTATTGATGAGTTCACGGTAGTCTAGTGATAATGAGTTCACGGTAGTCTAGTGATAATAAGTTCACGGTAGTCTAGTGATAATGAGTTCACGGTAGTCTAGTGATAATAAGTTCACGGTAGTCTAGTGATAATAAGTTCACGGTAGTCTAGTGATAATGAGTTCACGGTAGTCTAGTGATATTGAGTTCACGGTAGTCTAGTGATATGAGTTCACGGTAGTCTTGTGATAATGAGTTCACGGTAGCCTAGTGATAATGAGTTCACGGTAGTCTAGTGATAATGAGTTCACGGTAGTCTAGTGATAATGAGTTCACGGTAGTCTAGTGATAATAAGTTCACGGTAGTCTAGTGATAATAAGTTCACGGTAGTCTAGTGATAATGAGTTCACGGTAGTCTAGTGATATTGAGTTCACGGTAGTCTAGTGATATTGAGTTCACGGTAGTCTAGTGATAATGAGTTCACGGTAGTCTAGTGATAATGAGTTCACGGTAGCCTAGTGATAATGAGTTCACGGTGCTTTGTGATTTAAAGAGTTCACGGTAGTCTAGTGATAATAAGTTCACGGTAGTCTAGTGATAATAAGTTCACGGTAGTCTAGTGATAATAAGTTCACGGTAGTCTAGTGATAATGAGTTCACGGTAGTCTAGTGATTAATGAGTTCACGGTAGTCTAGTGATAATAAGTTCACGGTAGTCTAGTGATAATAAGTTCACGGTAGTCTAGTGATAATAAGTTCACCGTAGTCTAGTGATAATAAGTTCACCGTAGTATAGTGATAATAAGTTCACCGTAGTCTAGTGATAAGTTCACGGTAACACTCACGCGGTAACACTCACGCGGTAACACTCACGCTGTAACACTCAGCCGGTAAAAACTCAATCGGTAAAACATCACGCCGGTAAACACTCCCCGCGGGTAAACTCACGCGGGTAACACTCACGCGGTAACACTCACGCGGTAACACTTACGCGGTAACACTTACGCGGTAACACTCACGCGGTAACACTCACGCGGTAACACTCACGCGGTAACACTCACGCGATAATACTTCCGCAATAACACTTCCGCGATAACACTCCCGCGATAGCACTCCCCCGATAACACTCCCCCGATAACACTCCCCCGATAACACTTCCGCGATAACACTCCCTTAATAACCCTTCCGCGATAATACTCCCGCAAAAACCCTCCCGCGATAACACCCCGCGATAACACTCCCGCAATAACACTCCCCCTATAAAACTCCCCCGATAGCACTCCCGCGATAACACTCCCGCAATAACACTCCCGCAATTTATAAACATGTTATATACACTGGTATACACCAGTATATACACAGAGATGTATGTCTCTGTGTATACACTGAGTGGTGTACACTTCTCAATGTATATACTCTCATAACTGAAATATAAATTAAAGCATATACACCTAGTTACACACCGATGTGTGTATACACAAATACACATCATTGGGTGTATATAAACTGAGAGATATGCACATTTCAGTGTATTTTACCTGTAGGTAGGAGAGTGTAGTGACGCGACCGTCCTGTAGTAGCTGCTACAACCACAGTGAGGGAAAATAAGCTTCGTGAACCTCAGCTTCGAGGCTTCGAAGCTGAGCTTGAACCCTTTGAATGAGTCATTTCTTCACGGTGTTTTTAACATCTTCCTGAACACAGGATTCATACACCCAGAGTTTTTTTTTATATTTTATTTAAAACCATACACAAACATGAGTCACAAGAAAATTCAAACAAATATATTGCACTGAGTGAAAATCCTGACATCGGATATTGAAACAATACCTATTACCATTACATTGTTAACATTATAACAACTATAACCAATACTGTATCTGATGCCGAAGCTTAAACTGTCCTAAACTACATACACGTGTATAAGTTAACAATAGTAAAAAATGAAACCTAATTCTTCATCAAATTAAGCATTCTACCTCTTTTTTTTTTTTTATATTTTATTTAAAACTCAGGTACAAAAAATATATGGGTACATATTCAATATGTAACAAGATACAGGCAGTAAAACGATAATCTGCAGTGACTACACAAATACCAAAGAAGCTCTTATATAATAACATCAGAATTGGCTGCTGCACTCCAGTCAAACACTACTTTTATGTACTGGGCTTCACGTGAAAAGATGGTCTTATAATAAAAACGATAGTCCTACCTAGTAATGCTTACACTCCCCCCCCCCTTGAAAAACATACCACTTTCACCTGAGTATACTCATTGACATCTCTTATACATTTATTAGAGCATTAAGGACATCATTGACATATATAAACACAATCCAGCCATCTAAAAGGCTGACTATAATACAAGAAAAGTCTGAACATGATGGCACACATCCACCAAAAAAAACCAAAATCCACACCCTAACCCTCATTTTACCCATGATAACAATATCGTGCACGGTGGTGGATTTAATACACTACCGCTGACTCTTCACCCCTCCCCCCACATGCCTAGTAACTGTGTCTGCCGTCACCACTCAAAACCCTCCATCACCCATTGAATTTAAAAATACATTAAAGTACAATAACATAAAGGAATATGAGAACCCCTTATCGTCTCCGCCACAGAAAAATAAAATTGTTACATTTTCTAAATACATACTGCTGATTCATCTTTGTGCTGACAAAATATCCCCCATCCCCTATGCTTTTTATCTCTTTACTCCAAAGCTAAAAACCAGATTATACATTTCATCAATTCAAATTATATTACAATAAGCATAATAATATCAATACTTATCACCCGACTAATAGGTGTACATTATTATCACCCTGAGTTCCATGAAATTTACAAAAGAATTAATACATATATTGACAATCCCACAATCCTTCCCGTCTTCTAAATACAGTGTACATATATCCAAGGGACATTTCGTTATGATCCAATCATATTTACTTTACACTTCCCCTTTTCCCCCAGTGCAAGATAAATGCCACTTGCACTAGAGTCACAACAACTTACATTTGTTCACTTAAAACGTATAAAATAAAAAACTAACATAAATAATTTTATAAACAATATATAAAATAGTAATTATTTGACAAAGTGAAGAATACCAACTAATATGGTAACAGTACACTAGAAATTGTAACTCACTCACTAATACATATTCCCATTTTTTATGTATTATGTTCAACAAGATAATATAATTTTTTTAAACAATGTTCCAGAGCAATATCAGACTTACTCTGTCACGCACTAAGTTACACAATATAACTTATGGCTCCTAATAAGCATGTACCGGGCAGTACTACCTCAATCATTAACAAAACCAACCTTGCAAAGACACTTCAGAAAGCCACCCCCTGCCATCCCTGACCCCATGCTATCTGTATTAAAAAAACACAAAATCACGTTCCCTTCCATGCTCAAGTTCGTACCTGACGTCGAAAGTCATAAAACCCCTGTCTCTTAACAATGTCACCATTCAACCCCCCCCCTACGCCCCCCCTCATTCCTAACTACTTTACACCCATATGCTCCACTACCAACACTTTTATTCCACCTTCCGTCCTCCACTAATCTCAAAAAAGAACAAGAATGCCAGTTTTAGGAGAACCAAACCCAAACCAGTTCTAAAAATACACCCAACCCTAACATTACACCCCACCGACGATTACGATATACCCAAGGGGGAAAAACTATTTTAACCACAACCTCCCATATAGAGCCTATTTTCTGCATTACTGTACGATACACACTCGCGCTAGCCGCCCGCACCCATTATTTTCACCCCCCACCTCCCGCATGCACCAAGACACATACAAAAAATCTGCCACTACATACATCACTGCCCTCCAAATGTCCCCTTGGAAACCCCTCCCACATCAAAATGCAAAGCCCTCAAAGTCGAAATGTTTCTCCCCCCTCCCCCACTATACCCAGAACTCTCGCTAACCATGCCCTTACAAAACCCAAGTTTTCACAAAAATATATGGCATGAAAAACCGTCTCCTCTTCCTCACAATGCAAACAAGTGGCCAGCACCTACATAACCCATTCTATATAGCACTGACCTTGTAGCTAGAATTCCCATAAAGAAATCTATAAACCACTTCACGAACCCTTGGCTTTAATCTAATCTTCCGAAAGTCTTCCCAAATGCCCCTCCAATCATACATTGGGGATGTAGCTACTCCCTGTATCACTGTACCCTGCCCCAAACCCGTCCTCCCAAGCCTACTTACCCTTACCTTTTTGCTTCCCTTACTGCCAACAAATTTCGCAAAACCCTATCTTCACACTCCAGTAGTGCCTTTCCCTTCCACCATTTTCGCACATCCTTCATGACCTCTCCCACCCTTCTACCCCTCTCCCCTCCCACCCTCAAGTATCGCTGCTTCACACACACTGCCTTCACTCGTGTGTCCAAAGGTATAAGACCCAGCCCACCCTGCCGCACGCCCATCATCACCACCACCTTTCCGTAGCCATGGCTTCCCATAACCCCACACATACCTCAAAACCACCCTCTCCAGTTTCCTGAATATCACACGACTTCAGGGGATATATTTCGGGCCACGCCCCACCAATTTTTACTGTCACAAGTGTATTTAACTACCACCACCCTCTGCTGCAATTTACATCCCCAGACCCCCTCAACCCGCGCAATCCTACCCATCGCTCAAACTTCACTACTTCCTTGGAATTTATTCTCTGTGCCTCCCCAGCGTCCGCCATATTCACAAAACCCCCCCCATATCTTAATTCTATCCACTACGTTCCACCCATACTGAAAATCCCCCCAACCCCCCCACCCCACCCACGGGCCCCCCTACTTCTAATTAACTTTGACTTGCTCCATTAACCCTCATCCCTGTCACCCCACCAAAAATCTCTATTATACGTCCCACATTCCCCAATCCTATTTCCCCTCCTACCAAAACTGTGGTTGTCATCCACATACCCCACAATACCACATCTCCCAGGACCCACCTCTCCCTGTTCCCACACTCCCTTCCTCTATAAGCCTATAAAAAGGGTTTCCCGCATGCATGCAAAGAGGATTTTTAGACAAGGGGCAACCCTGTCGCAAACCCATCCCCCTCTGCACCGGCAACCCTAAAATTCCCATTAACCTTACCCTGACCGTTGCAGGCGTATACAAAAATAGTCGCCCCAGCGCACAATCTCATCACCAAAACCCTGTTTTTTTAAAATAACCACAACCCTATGTCTTTTCACATGTCATAACCTGTTCCATCAATCCCAAAGAACCCCCCCCATTGTCTACCCTTTCCCCAAAAATCCTTAATTCTTCCATCCCCTCCGCATACTTCGACCCGGAATCCCAAACTGTCCCCCCTATGTAGGACTCGGCAAGCACCTTTTTCATACCGTTACCTAAAACCTTCGCAAAAAACTTATATAATCTGCACAACATGAGGAGATCGCCCTAAAGCACCCAAGGTCTTCCCCCCCCTCTCTTTTAAAAGACCAAAACTACTACCCCCGTGCCCTGCGATTCCCCCAACACTCCCCTTTCCTTCATACAGTTAAACAACCGGACCAGACATTCCTTCTTTACAATCCCAATGTGTAAATAGAAATCATTAGGAATTCCATCAATGCCCAACGCTTTTTCCCCTACTCAAGCCCATTATCGCCTCCTCCACCTCCTCCTCACTTGATCCTACCCTCTATTACCGCACTTCCCCCTTTCCCCTAAAATACCTCGAATTCCTTCCCCAGAATCTCTCCCCCCTTCTTCTCCCCCCTCTGCTTAAAATTCTCCCTAAACCAATATCAGCATAATTGCCTAAATTCACGGTGGACTAAGTACCTGCCCCACCCTATATCCCCCACCCATTTACACCCCTTTAATCCCATAACGTGGTCATCTGTTGCCTATTCCTAAATCTCCCCAAAACACATCCTGAGGGTTGTCCCCCTAGAACCCCTCTCTAACCTTCCCTCAACAATACGCATCAACGAAGAATTTTTGTATATCCCCCCAATTTTCCCCCTTTTAAAACCTCTATTTCTCCATGTCTAGCTCCCCCCCCCCCTTCATAACAATCATTTAGCTGCCCCTCTAAATATTTCTGTAAACCATAACCTCCACCTCGCCTCATCCCTTCCTCTATGCGGTAATACTCCCTACTCTGCAATTTAGGGTGCTTCTCCCACCATTCCAAGACATCCTCCTCTTCGTTGCGAGCCTCCCATAGTTGCTTCCACCATTCCATAAAAAACAACCCCTCCCCACTCCCTGAAGTAGCCTCACATTCATTTTCCCAATAACCCACATACCTACAACCATCCCTTCCCATGCCATCCTGGGCCAAAAAAGGCACGATGGTCCGAAAAACCCAAATCTATCGTCATTAACACGTTTTTACTGTTATATCTCGAGTTATATATATACGATCCAACCTGGCAGCATAACCCCTCCGCATAAACGTGTGCTCTACTTTCCACCCATCGCCCCTGACTGTCATAAACCCCTGCATCCCTCAACAAATCCCTCAATACTCCAAGCACACACCCGCCCTCTCGGCTCCACATCCTTATTCCTGATTACACAAAATTTCCCAAACCCCACCTATTATAGAAACCATTGGTAAACCCCGCATGTAGAAAAGCAAATTATTATTATTATAATCAAAAAGAAGCGCTAAGCCACAAGGGCTATACAGCGCTGCAGGGTAGGGAAGGAAGCGAGGGTATTGGATGGCAGAAGGGAGGAGGGATAATCAGCAGGTTACAGAAAACAGCGGGGCAGGGGATAGGACGGGGGTAGAGGGTAGCAAGAGATTGAAGTAGAAAGGGCTGAAGGTATCAGAATTTATGAAGTAAGTCAGTTGTTGTCAAAAAGTCAATGAGAGAGT